TCATTTTAAATATCTCAGAGAGGTAAAGTAACCTGCCCAAGGACACACAGCAGGTGAGTGGCCAAGCAATCAAACCCAAACTTGCTTTTAACAACTCTGCTGTCACCTGGCATTGCCTTTTCCTATTTTTCACTTTTCCCCTGATTACAAAAGTTCCACATTTGTGTTAAAACAAAACAAAACAAAACAAAAAAAACCGCCAACTGTACAGAATTATAAGGAAGAAAATGAAAGTAACCCCGCCCTCCAGAGATAAACACTTGCGGGTTTGAACACACTCACACCATGCTGACTAAAGTTAGGATGTTCTGAACACTCTGTGACTTTGGACAAGTTGCATAACCTCTCTGGTCTCTCGGATGAGGGAGCTGGTTGAGAAGATGCAGCTTTGTGGGCCCTCCCAGGCCTGACTGTAGATGGGTTTGAGAGGATTGTGTAACAGCAGTTGGCTCTGTCCTAACTATCTGGGTGTGGACAGTAAAGTCACCGCCTGACAGCCCCTCAGGATGGGCCAAGTGGCTGCTGCATGTCCCTGCTGTAGTACCCCCAAATCCAAGCACTGAGCAACTTCAGAGAGGCGGCAGGGATACCAACGTCTGAGTCAGGGGCCCTAGGAGGTCCAGGCTCCCTCCATGGCTGGTACCAGCAACTACTCTCTCAGTAAGCAGGGCTGGCCAGCTGGGGGTCAGTGCCTGCACCTCCTGGGATGAAACTTGCACAGATGGAGGCCTTAATCGACTGGAATTCCTGCTCAGGATGCCTGGGCCCCAGCTCCATCTCTTAGCTGGGACAGGTTTGGATGTCTGCCTGATGATTTCAACTGTATGACCTTGGCACATCCCTTCTCTGAGCCTGTTTCCCCTTCTCACAGGCTCATTGATTAGTTCATGAGATGATCTCTGTAATACACCCGGCATGGCGGAGCAGCCAGCCATTCCTGTCCCCTTTTTTTCTGATACTTTTCAACAGTATGCTTTAAAGGAATTTTCCTACCATTCCACAGATTGCAGACATACTAAGTGCCAAGCACAGCAGGAAAGATAGTAGGGTGTATATTCCACACCCTTAAAAAGTTGCCCTCAGGCAACTCAGGGAGAGTCAGATAAGGGTCTAAGTGACTTTTACACCATCAGAATGTTCTAACCAAGTCCTCCAGGGCACCAGAGAAGAAGCTGGAGAAACCAGGGGAGGCTTCTTGGAGAGAGCACTTTGGCTGAGCCTCGGAGGATGGGAAAAGGTTATGGCGAGCCCATAACAGCATCCTGCCAGCAGGAGAAGGAAAAATTTGGTGGTAAGGAGGAGTGAAAAACAGTCCACAGTCTGGGTTTCTCAAATTTGCCCAGAGTACAGCAGAGAGGTGCATGAGAGTAATGGGGGGTTATTCCAGACTGTAGGTGCTGGCCTTTGGATTTAGTGGGCAAGGCGGAGTCATGGAGGATACTGTGCAAAGCGAAGAGCCCCCAGATAGCACAGGAGAGACAGTGAAAGGGCTGTGGATTCCAAAAGAGAACTTGAATATCAGACAGTCTCCTCTCCTGAGAGCATCCCTGCCAGAGGTGACCACACCTGCTCTCTCCTCACACACTGTTTAATTAATTAATTAATTAATTAATTTTTAAGATTTATTTATTTATTTATACAAGAACCGGAGCACAGGCCAGATGCGCGGGAGGGTGAGAGGATTAACCACAGACACAGCGAGGAACAGAACAGGCAGACTGACGAAATACACTGCTGAGGGGAGCAGCGGGCGAGTCAGGAAAGGTCTGCTGCGCCATGTGGGACCCTCATCGGCCGGGATCGAACCGGCCGCAGAGGCTGCTGACAGCTTCACAGCGCTGCTCTCAACCACCTGTGCCACCAGGGGAGGCCCACACACTGTTTAATTTAGTCCCAGATGGATAGTATTTCCAGTTTACAAATGGGAAAATCAAGGCTCAAAAACATTAAGCCACTTGCAAGGTCACACAGCAGACAGTGAATGGGGGTCAATTCCAACTGTCATCAGTTCCATCCTTTCTCCTTCTGTGACCCCAGGACAGATGCAAAATTTCCCTTTGGGAGCAGGATTCAGATAGAGATTGTAGGATAAAATATCTGACGGCACTGAGTCACCCCACAGCTCTTAAAAGTCCATGTTATTGGGCCTCCCTGGTGGCGCAAGGGTTAAGACGCAACCTATGAAGCTGTTGGCAGCCTCTGCAGCACAAGTTTGACCCCTCCCCCCCACTCCTCCTGTCAGGGAGCAACCCACATGGTGCAGCAGAACTCTCTTGACTCACCTACCTCTACCCTCAGCAATGTACTCTGGTCAATCTGCTGGTTTTGTTCCCCACTCTGTCTCTGGTGAATCCTCTCACCCTCACACTGTAACAGGGTGGTTCCCAGGACAACACCTCTGGCCTGTACCCCAGCTCTTGTATGCATAAATAAATAAATCTTCAAAAAAAAAAAGTTTATTATCTCCATCACAGGAAGAGTGGAAAATCAGTAGAGAAATGTGACTTACTGAGGGCCACATATTAAAGGTGGGGAGTCCAGGTTAACCTTTCTGAGTCCAAAACCTCCCAGTACCACACAGTACTTCCAGGTTTATTCCTAAGCACATCGGAAATAGGGAAAAGCCAGGTCAGAAAAACCCACTGCTCTCCCGCATCAATTTCCATCAATTCATGTTCCTCTGTGCCTCTCTGCCCACTCAGCAGGCCTATAATTCCAGATCCCTGCTTCTTCTGCAGTTTCCACAGACCAGAGTACACTAGGATTTTCTTTGGCTTCCTCTCCACCTAGAAGCAGCAATCCACTCTTGGACTCGGGCGTCCGTAGCTACACCTTTATCACCACCCTGACCACATCCATCTCGAGTTAGTTTGTCTCCAAGAGAGACCTCTCTCTGAACTAAGCCTCTGTCCCAACCACACTTACAAGTGCCTTAGGGTGACCTTCTTGCCAAGTTCTGATGCCAGACCCTGAAACACAGAGTGGCATGATGACATCAGGCCTGCTCTGCTGGGAAGGGGAAAACCAAGAGATTTAGTGAATCATAACAAGAAAAGGTGGGGTAGGACCTGGGTTCCTTGCCTTGTACACAAAGGAGGCAGCTGTAGACCCATTGCATAGATGCTGGTGGAGAGGTTTAGCCAAGGAAGAGATTTACCTAGGATCACTCAGCAGAAACAGGATAGCTGTGTTGCATTCAGAAAGAGATAAAGAGATGCAGAGTTCAGTGGACAGACACTGCCATCACCACTGTAATCTTTGCATAAAAAAGTTTTCTTTTTGAAAAATGTGGGTTGGGGAAGGTAGAATGAATATTTTTGGTTAAGAAAAATGGCGCAGCTCAAATTGGTATGCTGTGAGAAGTCAGCAGCTGTAACATTCTATGATTCAATGCACAAAATATGTTGAGTTCCTCAGCTGAATAAGTAGTATAAACAAATAATTTCTTTTTTTCTTTCTTTTTTTAAGGCACAGGGAGGGTGTTGCCATTATCTGAGGCCAGCTTTGCTGTCCTCAGCCAATGCTCATCCCAAGGAAGAAAACGCCCTAAAAAGGGGGGGAGGGGGCGGGCTCAGCCCAGAACTCTTCTAGAACCCCAGCAGAATGTTCGAGCATGAGTGAACACAGAAGCTAAGTGAGGCAAATGCAGAAGTGGCCTCTGATGATACAATCAACGGTACAGGGTGATAGTGAAATTCCCCTCTCCCCCGAGTGGGGGTGGGGAATAAGCCGCAGAATGTTCCTGACTCTGCACCCTGACCCAGTGGCGCAATGTTTATGTTTGTGTACCTAACAAGCCGGTGCCGCCTCGGCGGACGCCGCCGCCCAGGGGGCCGTCACTTGGGGCCCAGGCCCGGGGGGCCGCACGAGGTGTTCCCCAAACGTTTGCCCGGCTCTTGAAGCCTTCCTAGCGCGGTAGCATTGGATTTCAAGTTCCCCTCACAGCGATGTCGAGAACCAGGCCGTGGGGGTAGGGGCGGTTCCTATCTCCAGTGGGAGTCCCGGAGCCCAGGGGACAGCGGGCGCCCAAATGTACTTATTTGAAGTGAAGAACAAAGATGGAGCAGGTCGATGTCTTAAACGTACGTGACCAGAACCGTGTCTGGCGGCCCCGGGGCGGCGCTGTCGAGTCGCTCTGCGGGGGGCCTCTCCAAACGCGGAACCTCGGACTCTGCAATGGCACCCCGCGGCCCCCCATGTCCCGCCACCCGGCTTTCAGCCCCCCACCCTCCTTCCTCCGCTCAAGGTCTGCTAGAGCCCTCATTACTAGGAGCAACAACTACGCCAGGGGCTCGGATAGAAGGCGCTTTGTTGGCAGTCACAGCATGGAAAGCCTGGGGAACAGGAAAACATTGTCTCTGAACCCCTCCACCTCAACTCTCCCCGGCCGCTCTTGGTAGCGGCTAAGAGGGCGCAAAGCGACATCTCCGTGGACATAGTTGTTCATTTTTCTCCCACCCTAATTCCAAGCTTCTCTGACCCCCCAATCCCAGCAGTGTTGATCTGAACCAGTAAATGGCTTCTCCGTGGGAGCCTCGGTTTCCCCGCCTGCTGGGGCGAGGGGCGCGAGGAAGGGCGCGGTGGGTGCACGAGCGCAGGAAGCCCCTGTGCGCTCGGGGCGCGCGGCGGCGCGGGGCGCGGGCTTGGGGGTGGGGGTGAGGCGCTGCCCAGCCGCCCGCTCTCCCTGCGCCTCCTCGGCGAGAGCAGCGCTCGGCTCGCAGCGCGCCCCGCTGGCTCCTCCGGGTCCGCAGCGCCGCGCGGGCCGGGTCCCTAGAGACGAGCCCGGCGGAGGCAGGACGGCCGGGCGGGGGCCGGGGCCGGAGCCAGCGCCCGGAGAGCGGATTCCTCCCCGAGCCGATGACGTCTTCTCTTCAGGCTTCGCTGGCGCCCGACCGGGCAGGGCGGGTGACGTCACCGCAAGGGACACGTGACCGCCATTCAACTCCCCCCCCCCCGGCGCCCGCCCGCCCCGCCCCGCCCCGCCCCCCACTCCAGGGAGAGACACATATAACCGCGTTCCCCGGGGCCGGGCTCGCAGCGGAGGACGCCCGGGCTGGAAGTGCGGCCGGGGCCCGAAGGTCAGTTAAGGGAGCGGCAAGAAAGAAGCCGAGGTAGCCAGAAACCCCGCAGGACGCCCCCTTGCGCAGCGAGAAGCGCAGTTTTGGGTTCCGTGAAAAGAACGCCAGGGTCGGGCTTTTCCTCGAAAGCCCTCCCGTGCCCTCGGCTTCCGGAGACAAAGAGCACGAGAGGACGAGCACGCTGGGGGCGCTGGGGCCGGCCATGGTCATGGAGGTGGGCGCCCTGGACGTCGGCGGCCTGCGGGCGCTGCTGCGGGAGCGCGCGGCGCAGTGCCTGCTGCTGGACTGCCGCTCCTTCTTCGCCTTCAACGCGGGCCACATCGCGGGCTCGGTCAACGTGCGCTTCAGCACCATCGTGCGGCGCCGGGCCAAGGGCGCCATGGGGCTGGAGCACATCGTGCCCAACGCCGAGCTGCGCGGCCGCCTGCTGAGCGGCGCCTACCACGCCGTGGTGCTGCTGGACGAGCGCAGCGCCGCCCTGGACGGCGCCAAGCGCGACGGCACCCTGGCTCTGGCCGCCGGCGCGCTGTGCCGCGAGGCGCGCGCCGCGCAAGTCTTCTTCCTCCAAGGTAAGCCCGCCGGAAGCTCGGGGTCGGGCCGCGCGCCCCTGCCGCGGCTCCTGGGGACCCCTGGCCCTCGGCGCCTGCCCCTCGTGGGCGCGCGCACTCGTGTCCTGTGGACGTGTCGTTGGCTTTGTTTGGCGCTGGGAACAAAGACTTGGGGGGAGTGTGTGAAGGTGCCCTGGCCCGCGGTACTAATGGAAAAAAATTGTTTCTTTGTATTCCCAGGAGGATATGAAGCATTTTCGGCTTCCTGCCCGGAGCTATGCAGCAAACAGTCGACCCCCATGGGGCTCAGCCTTCCCTTGAGTACGAACGTCCCCGACAGTGCCGAATCGGGGTGCAGTTCCTGCAGCACTCCACTCTATGATCAGGTTAGTAGGGGCCCATGCCAGAGGGGAGAAGGAACAAGCCGGTAGAGACCCGGAAGTGCAGCGCTGGTGAGGAATAGAGAAAGGGACCTGCAGCTCTATTTATAACCGAGGGAACACGGGATATTATTTATCCCACGCTGAAGTGGGCTGCTGGAGCAGAGTCTCCAGTTGCTGGCACTACAGAAATGGACTTGCTGGCCCTGCCTGTCAGATGGGTTTAGTCCTCTGTACTCCAACGACAGTGCTGAGAAGTTAGCTCACTCGGTATCTGAAATGGACCTTTCCAGCAGGGTGTTTTTTTGTGTGTGTGGACACTGGCATTGACTTTGAGCAAAGCATAACAAATGTTGGATATTTCTGGATTTCAGGGTGGCCCTGTGGAGATCCTGCCCTTTCTGTACCTGGGCAGTGCCTATCACGCTTCCCGAAAGGATATGCTGGATGCCTTAGGCATCACTGCCTTGATCAACGTCTCAGCCAATTGTCCCAACCATTTTGAGGGTCACTACCAGTACAAGAGCATCCCTGTGGAGGACAACCACAAAGCAGACATCAGCTCCTGGTTCAATGAGGCGATCGACTTCATAGGTAAATGGAATGGATGCTTGGCACTTCTCCACGGCTCCCCCCTGTTTTTGCCACTGAGCCCAACACTATGGCAAGGACTTGACTGACATTCTTCTCAATCTTTATGCAGACATTATCAGTCTGTTGCAGGCAAGGTCCCTGCAAAATATAAATGGGATGTCCCACTTTACATATTAGCACAATGAGGCTCAGAAAGTTGTACTGAGTCTGATCAAGCAGTTGCTCAAGATTTCTGTGCTTAGCAGAGATAGGACTGCCTGACTGTTCTCTGCATATTGCCCACATTGCCTTCGCAAATTGTGTGTGTGCCCACATTGCCACCACCACATGAGGTGATGTCCGTCTCAGGACAGGGCACACGTGATATTTCTTAGGCACCCTGTGTATGCCTGTGGTCGGGGCTCATTTCTTCTGAGCACTGGAGTAATCAGCCACCCTTTGTTTTCTAGATTCCATCAAGAATGCCGGAGGAAGGGTGTTTGTCCATTGCCAGGCAGGCATTTCCCGATCGGCCACCATCTGCCTCGCTTACCTCATGAGGACTAACCGAGTCAAGCTGGATGAGGCCTTTGAGTTTGTGAAGCAGAGGAGAAGCATCATCTCCCCCAACTTCAGCTTCATGGGCCAACTGCTGCAGTTTGAGTCCCAGGTCCTGGCCCCACACTGCTCAGCTGAGGCTGGGAGCCCCGCCATGGCTGTGCTGGACCGAGGCACCTCCACCACCACTGTCTTCAATTTCCCTGTCTCCATTCCTGTCCACCCCACGAACAGTGCGTTGAGCTACCTTCAGAGCCCCATTACGACCTCTCCCAGCTGCTGAAAGGCCATGGGAGGGAATCTTCGCAGCCCACCGGGACTCCAGGCTCCTCCTTGGGAGGAGACATGCAATAACTCCAAGGAGGGGGCTCAGGGGGCTGGTCCTTATTTATTTAATTTCACCCGAGTTCCACTGGGTTCCTAGGCAATCACAGTGGTGACTTAGCGTCAACGCATTTGCTGAACTCGGCACATTCGGGACCAATATGTAGTGGGTTCATAAGCCCCTCTGACAAAAGGGGACAGAAGAGAAAGGTCTCAGCATGTGAGCTGATTTCTTTTTCCTTGCCCTGGTTGGATTTTTGGTAGAAACTCTTCATGCTTGACATACCTTCCAGTATTACCATTCCCGACGACACATATACATATGCGAATACACCTTATTTATTTTGTGTAGGTGGTCTGCCTCCACAAATGTCAGTGTCTACTCCTAGAAGAACCAAATACCTCAATTTTTGTGTTTGAGTACTGTACTACCCTGTAAATATCGTCTAAGCAGGTTTGTTTTCAGCACTGATGGGAAGCACCAGTGTTGGTTTTTTTTTTTTTTTTCAGTTGCCAACAGTTGTATGTTTGCTGATTATTTATGACCTGAAATAATATATTTCTTCTTCTAAGAAGACATTTTGTTACACAAGGATGACTTTTTTATACAATGAATAAATTATGGCATTTCTATTGAAATATCAATGCTTTATTTCGTGGGCTGCTCTACCTGTTCCCTTTCCCAACTGTTAAAACTAGGGGAGAATCTGGACAAGGACCTCTAGAATGGATGTATTGGGATCTAGTCCTCTATTTGATGACCCCTTGGTCCCACAAGATAGGGTTGCAGGGAGGCAGAGAAATCTTGTCTGTCATGAAAAAGCGGGTACTGTAGCCAAACTCATTACTTGGGTCCAAGTGAATCCAAAGCATGCCAGAGCCAAAGCCAGGAAGAAATGGTCATATTAGCTGTTTTGCTATTTTTACTTACCCTTCCTTAGGTAATATAATAAGTTTCCCTCCCCTCTAAGTGTGCTAGAATTACTGAGGGTGATAGTTTTCCAAAATGGCTTGATAGGAATGTGTTCTCACCATGTGCAAGGACTGCCCCCAAAACAACTCTGCACAAGATCTTTGGTAGATGAAGATGCTGAGACTGAGAACAGCTAAGTGACAGAAGATAGGGGAATGGAACCTACATCTGGGTCATTTCCTAACTATTTGCTTTGCATTTTTTGCTTGCCTCAATCATACTCTCACTTAGCCTTTGAAAAGAACTTCATTTTTGTGAAAATATCTCTGGGCAGTTAAAAAAAATTCAAGTATGATTAGCAAATACAGTGTTGGTAAGTCACATGAAATCCCCACCTTCCCACCTGATCATTAAGGCTTTGGAGCATAGCCTGAGATGTTCCATGTATGGGATGGACATTTTTGGTAACTGCCTCCTTCAGGTCACTCGCTGTTTTCAGTTTTGTTGAAGATAGGCTTGCTTTGGGGCAATATTCTGGGTTTTTTAGTCTCTTGCCAAGTAGGTCAAAATCAGAAGTTGTAATTGACTACCAGTGCATGATCTGGTCTATAATGTTGAATTAAGTAACAGTAAAACTCTTGTGTGATTGACCCCTTAGCTGCCACCTCCCTCTACAGCCCTTCCTCTTCCCCCTTGCTTGTTTCTGGACAGACTGCTGTAGGAAGCAGAAAACAACTTACTGGATTTCTGTGGGAGGGGACAGAGCAGTGGTCTTGGTCCATCCTGTGGATCACGACCTTGACACATTATCAATGTCCTTGACCTTTCCTCTACTGGTTCAACAGCAGCCACCTGACTCCCAGGGCCTAAAAGATCCCTGTGTTCCAAATTCTAAGCACTTCCCCTAGGCTGGCAAGCTCATTTCCTTGGCTGGGCTTCCGATTGCATGTGTGTTCATGCCTTTCAAAACAAACTGTACCCAGTGTTTTTATCAAACCCTAGAAATTTACTATTGCAAGTATCTCCCTTCGTGGAAACGTACCAGCGACTTCAAGTCTGTGACAGATGCCGTGGCTGACTTCCCTGTGGGTTTGGGCCATCGCTTTCTGTTTGGCAGACACTGGCTGAACCCAAATTAATCTCCAGTGTGATCCACGCAGTGGAAAAATACAGCAGTTGCTTAAGGGAACTGCCAGTGAAAATAATTCACTCACTTCTCCCAGTCAGTGCAAACCACTTCACCTCCCACCCCTACCGGAGAGCAGGGCTGATAACCCCTTCTCGTGTATCAGATTCCTGGTCGTCAAACCCTCTAGAAAAATGTCACTCTTGGCCTGAGACTGCTTTTCTTGGGGGTGGGGGGGAATCCTTAATTATTTACAATGTTTGTTTCTCAGTGGCGGATGAAAACAGACAACTCAATGGTTTAATAGCGTTATGATAATAGTGGTCAAATTTAAAGTCCGAGTTGTGTGCCAGTTACTGGCTAACTGCTTTGTACATCTTTGCATTTAACCACTAACAGCAAGATCCATTTTATAGAGGAAACTGAGGCTCAAAGAGGTGAAGCGACATGCCCCAAGGTCACACAGCAAGTAATTCCCATTGCAGAGATTGGAACTGGGGGCTGAGGTCTCAGTTCAGTTCAAAAACAGTTTATGGGAGTGGGGATAAGACAAGCTTTAAAGTCAATCAGCTTTTACTAGGCAATTTTGGGGTGGAAAAGATATGTATTCCTCAGTTTTTTCATTGTAAAATGAAGATAAAGAAGCCTGCTTTGTTTTGGGGGTGGAAATGGGCTCCTGAAAGGACAGGCAGGTAACTGACCCTGGAGGAACATGTAGATCCCAACCCCCTCTGCTAATAACCTCCAACAATTCTTCGGTATCATTTTCCCACCAGCAAAACGACCAGTTTGCACTGGCTCTCATAGGTAGGGCTAGTCCCAGACCCCTGAATTCTTAACCCCAGTTTTCCCACTTGTGATATGGGTCAATAACCCCCAGATTTCAGAGGCCCTTTAAGGATTAAATCAACGTCAGCTCTAATTCTAGGGCCTAGAAAATGCATCCATGCATACTTTATGCTTTCCTGTGGTTTCCAGGCACCCATTATTCCATTAGGATACTTCCAACCCCAAAGGCCTCCATCACATCCTCTCTTTTCTTTGGAATTTTGCAAATCGTAGCTATTTTGCCTTGGACTTGCAGCCTGCAGCGACCATATCTCCCTGCTCCGCCTTGGAGGATGACATCATCGTGTGTACACCTTTAAGATTACATAAATCTGATCACCCAGGAGCCTCTATCCCCATGGCAACGCGGAGGAGTTTCCCTTTTGTGAGGAAAGCTGTCATGTCACTTCCTGCTGCTGACAAATCAGTTTAGGAGATTAAAATAAAGGGGAGAGGATGGGGAGCGGGGTGCGGAAGGCGGCTCTGAAAACTGCCGCGGCGGTGCTTTCTGGTTGCCATACACAGGCGAAAACAAAGCGCGGGCCACTCGGGGGGCCCCGCCCCGCTGCCCGGCCCCATTTCAGGTTTCCCACACCTCGCCGGGGAAGGCCGGGTGGATCCAGGTCACCCCGGGGCTGTTTTTCTCTGCAGATTGCATTTTGGGGAGCAGGTGGGAGGGGGACCCACCTCTAGGGAATTTTCTGGACACTGCAGGGCTAGTCTGTACCAGAAATTTCCTCAGGAGTCCGTGGTGCCTCTCTCCCCTTTGTCTGCTCCCGGCAGAGGGTTTGCACGCTCCTAGTACCACCGGGGACAAAAAGTGTGCTTTGCTAGAGATCATTAGCAGCCGGGGAAAGGATCTACATGTTCCTCCAGGAAGAACAAAGCCCGGGCCACAAGGGTGGCCCCGCCCGCTGCCCGGCCCCAGTTGAGGTTTCCCACACCTCCCCCCTCCAGCAGGCCCCCTTCTTTCCTTCCCTGGAATGTTTATTGACTATAGACCCGGGTACTTTTGGTGCATGACAAAATTCCTTCAATCAAGTAGCTACCAATGGGAGGATAGGCTAGGCAATATATAAATAGCTAGGAAATAAGACAGAGAAACGTTAGGAAGGTGGAAAGAAAAAGGGGCTCCTTTAGATGTGCTGGTCAGGGAAGCCTTTCTGAGGGGTCACTGTCTTAAGTTAGTACCTCACCCGGTTGTCCTTTTGAGAGATGAGTTGGGAAGAAGGATCCAGGCCAGGAGGACAGCAAAGACCTGAGGTTGAGGGGGATCTTGGTAAATTGGTAGATGGCACACTTAGGAGTCAGCTAGACCTGAATTCAAGCTCTGATTCTTTGCCACTTTTTAGCTGGGTGACTTACTGTGACCAAAGTAACATGGGCCAGTAACCCTTATCTTTCAGAGGCCCTGCACCGGTGAAAGGAAATGCAGTCACCTGGGCACATCAGCGAGGCTTGGAAAAGGCTCATTGCCCTCTTGCCACTCAGCCAGTTCCCATTCTGTCACTTGGGCAGAGCATTCTGGCCAAAGGAAACACAAGTGGCTGTACCGCCCCCAAGGGCCTGCTCTTACTGCTCTCACTGTGACCATAAGAGCTTTGTTTGGGGGTGGCCTTTGCTGGGACATCTCCAGCCCTGGCCTGTTGACGGCAGGCAAACTGCAACTCTCTCTGGGCCGTCATTGCCTCATCTGTAAGAAGCACCGAAGCACCATTCATATATTCTCTTTCACCACCCAACTGCCAGCTCGAATCCCTCTAGTCATTTAGGCCTGGGAAGGCTCTGGAATCCCTGGGTTTCCTTCAGACTGGCTCAGGGGAGCAGAGGGGATTGGAAAAGGACATTTTCTGGGAAGAGGTAGCAAGGGGTCCTGGACCTTTGCAAGGCAAGTTGGTATAGTGGAGATGCACTGATTCCTGCAGGAACAGGTCCCCCACAGTGCTCTGCATGCACATCTCACACTCCCAGCTCCCAGGGCCTGCCCATTTCTCCAACCCCAGCCAGCCCTTTGCCACAGACCACTTTGCAAATTCAGCTTTAAGTGTTTCATCATGGTTGACACAAACACACACTTGAGGTCAGCTACCTCCTCCGTTCTTCATGTATTCATTCATTTATTCTTTTACTTCATAAAAACGTATTAATATATTAATTAAATACCTTGGGTTTACCACACATTATATTGACCTCTCCTGAGCTCTGTCTCTCTTCTGGGATTGGTCTTGTTTACATTGTCCCTACCTGCACCACATGGGCACATAATTGAAAGCCTGCCAGTCTGTGCCCACTGCCATCATTTCCAGGATCATTCCTACTCTCCCCACTGCTTCCTCCATGCACACTGAGGCTTGTAATTCTCATAATACAGCATATGCTTTCTTGTCACTCTTACTTTTGCACATGCTAGTCCTCAGCTTGAATGACCTCCCCCTGCTCAAAATATCACCAAATCATGATGCCTCCATTAATCATTAAGAATTCCTCCTCTGTGCATCAAAAAATGTCATGAGCATATCATGGCTATGAAATCCCATTGCTGTAAACCAAGGGCAATAAGTCCAACTGGCCCCAGGGCCTGGCAGGTAACAATTGAAAATTGGGACACTAGGGGATAAGGTGACCCAGGCAGGTCCTGCACCACAGGGAAGCTGCTAGTAAGGTGTTTTTTGTTTTTTGTTTAAATTTTTTTGCATAGAAGAACTGGGGGTTGGGGAGGGATGGTAGTGAGAGGATTCACCAAAGACAGAGTGGGGAGCAGAACAGGCAGAT